GTCGAACCTAGTTCATAAGTCATAAGACAGGCATCTGGATGCCTGCCTGTGGCAGCAGTACTCATGCTCAGAGGTATGTGCCTAGGGGACCTTTTATAGCAAAAACGTTGGTGCTGAGTGAGTTTAGGCAGCTAGCAGGATAGGTGGCAGCCAAGCAGGGTTATGTGGATCACAATGATACCTAAAACTGGATATGAGGTGACTAAATCCCTTTGTGGATCTGTCTGGGCTAAAGTGACTTGCCCAAGGTCACGGAGTAGGTAGTGGCATAGCTGCAAATAGAACTCAAGTGTCCTGAGTCCCCAGCTAATGCTTGGTCTGTTAGACCTTGCTGCCTGCCCTGAAGATCATTGTTATTACTACTGCATGGTATTTTACAGAAGTGTACCAAAGAGACCCCTGCCCAAGCCAGCCTCCAGTTTAAACAAGCAAAATACAGAAAACCAGAGCGGGAAAGAAGCAATATACAAGGAAGGAGAATTAATAGTTGTGTTTAGTGTGCTTCTTATGAGTTCCTAAGACTATTCTGTTCTGTGGGATTGAACTTCTCTCTCTCTTTTTTCTTAAAAAAAAAGTTTATCTTGTGCTGTGAGCTGTATTAAAGTATTGAAATGAGGCTTATTAGAGATAATCAAAAATGTTCAGTTAGTTTTTATGATGAAAAATGGCTTTTTTGACTACATGAACATTTTCATGAAAATGTTTATATTTGAAATTTTATTGGAACTAAAATTTTCATTTTGATTGAAAAACATTATTGTGTTGGGTTGGTGGTGGTGGTGTGGTGGGTTTTTTGTTTTGTTTTGTTTCCCCTTCTTTCTGTCCCTCCCTCTACCCTCTCCAGTCAAATAAAGGGGAAGTGAGAGAAAAAGGAAAAAAAAAACATGAAAACCATTTTAAAATGAAACTGAAACAAACCAAATGTTTAAATTGAATCAAAATGAAAGAAAAGTATTGCAATGCAATAAAAACGGTTTAATTTCTTTCAAAATGATGCGAGACAAGAGGGAAAGAATTTAGGTTGGTTAGGAGATTAAAGGGGGTGGAGTCAAGGGGACTAGCTGAGAGGTTCAGGATAGTGGGACCATGGGAGACCTCCACACCAGAGAAAAGAGAGAAGGAGAAGGAAGCCACAGAGGTGGGAAGGGACTGGGAGGTGAGGAAGATAGACATATCACACACTTGCAAAATCCTGAGCAGAGAGGGAGAAGGTGCAGTCACTGCCTCCCACTGTGCGTTATTGTGTGACCCAGACACTCTGCCTATGCTTTAAAATGAAGATTATGAAATTCATTGCTTTTTTTCTTCTACCATCATCTTAATTTCAGAAATTAAAAAAAATAGTGAAATGCATGTATTGATTACACTGCATGTTGCAGGAGATTACATGGGTGAAA